CCCCCCCCCCCCCCCCCAGTGTGAGTTAAGTATAAATCTAACTTTTTTCTTTACAGGTGCATTTTGGAACTGCTAACATTAGGGGGGGTTATGCACAAAGCTGCCGAAGCCAGCCGAGTGAATAGCCCAGCCCTAAGTGAATAGCCCGTACAGCAGACCTTCGGTTGGGGCTCCGGCAGCCGAAAATAGCCGAAGGATCAGCCGAAGCTATGGCTGGATCCTTCAGCTCCTTCGTGAAGAACCCCCCTAGGTGATGTTTAAAGGGGGAGGAGGGCCAGAATGTGATGTCACTCCAGTCCAGGCACCTCTACAGGGCATGCAAGGGATTCTGAATGGCTGCTCAGCACGAGAACTGACAGTGCTGAGCTAGGGGGAGGCTGAGGAGCCCCTCACCTAGAAAAGTGGAAGGCGTGCGGTGACCCACTGAACACGGGTTTGCGACCCACTTTTGAGTTGGGAACCAAGGCTTTAAAGAGCAGCTCCTTCTAATCTAGAGCCACTTGTTGAGGTGGCTTGGACATGGCATGTGGATGCTCCTTTGAAGACTTCCCCTGGAGGTGTATCATATGAAGGATGAGTATCTGGGACAATCCTAAAGCTCAATGGGGGAAATACTTGAGAAAACCTTGTGTAGTAAGTCCCAGTAAGAATTGGAATATCCAAAGGAAAGAAGGAAGCCTGGGACAACCTGCTTCACCATGACCATGGGTTAAATGGTAGAGAAATGATAATGATGATACACATTGCTTTCACATAACATTATGCAATATATTTGATTTCCTGTACCTTATTTTTTACATGGTCCTTTAGGTTGGTGGGGTTACTCAGCTGAGATAAATATGAAGGCTGCCATTGCTGCATAGGGATCCACAAGCCAGAGTTCTTGGGTTATCGGGCCACTTTGCATGAGATGGACGCTGCTCACCCATCATTAGTGGCCAATTTACACCATTTTACTTCTAAGTATACATATGCTGTGTTACCTCTTTCCATTCATTCACTTCTTTCCTGCATCCTCTTTATCCCTCCCTATATGAAAACCTTAGCATTCACAAGGGGGCCACCATTTTATTGCTTGGGCAAGTCAGTAGAGTGGATGAGTAGTGTTGGGCTTTCATTGCTATGTAAGTCTCTATGTAAGTACAGGACTGTGAAGGACTCCGAAGCCAGCATAACCCCATTCATGTTAAAGGAGAACTATGGGGTCAGGGCTTTTCCCCATCGTTCTCCTAAGGGTCACGGGAGAACGCAAACTAGCGTCCTCCCGTCACCCAAAGCTCAGTATATAGGGAGCAATACTGAGACGCCGCAGCCGGAACGGATCCCGACAATACTGTCTGGATCCACCCAGCTGCGTGAGTGAGCCAGCTATGCCCTCCCCCGTCCGTTCCGCCAGTCAGCGTTGGAGGATCGGACACGGGAGGGGGGGAGGGAGGGGGGGATCCATTCAGGGAGCCATGAGTGACAGTCACGGCTCTCTGCAGGGATAGATGGAGAAGTGAGCGAGCGCCGGTATGTGGTCGCTCACTTCCCGATCTACTGAGCCGCCCTGTGACAGTTTCATTGTCACAGGTCGGCACAGATTATGAGGCTGAGTGAAAATCACTCGCCTCATAGGAACGTGAAATCAAATGCCGAGAAGACCCCAGTCACATGACCCGTCAAAGTCATGTGACCCAGCTCTCCTCCTGCCACGTGCTGTTCTCCGAAGCCTCGTTCACCACTCTGCTAACTTTAAAATCTAACATTTTAACTTTAAAACTCTCATGCAGGACAGAACACATAGGTGTATCGGGAGATCTGCTTGTTCTTAGGGCCAAGGGGATGTTGGAGACTGTTGAGCAGATAATATGAAGGCGAAGAAAGGAACACCACCAGTATTTAAAACCTATCAATGAGGAAGCTCTACCAGTCTCCAGATGAACATAGGTCCTGCAGAAGTAATTTTGTACACTCGGTGCTGCATGTATTAAAAAAAAAATATGTAGCATATGTGAAGCATCATAACCCTACACGTTTTGGGTGCCATGTACTCCCTTCATCAGAGTTCATCTGGAACCTGGCAGAGCTGCCTGTTGAGATCTGCTTTTTTCCTTGCGATGTTCCTTTTTTGTTCACTCGGCATCAAAGGGTGACATTTGTTGAACTGTTTACAGCCCTCAATCTGAGAAAGAATGCCAGTGTAATATTTGGCCACTGTTGCAAAGCTGCCAACAGAGGACACAGCCAGCAAATAAAACAGCGGTGCTTTGCAATATTATCCAACACTCATAGAGGGCCTCATTGCCCCGTGCATTTTCCAGCACGCAGGTGCTGCCCCCCACTATCTTCACGAACTTCCAAAAGGCCCATTGCTTTCAAGGAGAACTATGGGGTTAAGGCTTTTCCCCATAGTTCTCCTTAGGGTAACGGGAGGACACAAACTAGCGTCCTCCCGTCACCCTAAGCTCAGTATATAGGGAGCTGTAGCTCGCGGTATACTAAGATGCCGCAGCTGAAGCGGATCCCGACAATTATGTCTGGATCCGCCCAGCTGCGTGAGTGAAGCTGGCTCTACCTATCTAGAGGCAGAGCCAGCTGTACCTGCACCATCCCCCGTCCGTTCCGCCAGTCAGCGCTGGTGGATCGGAGCGGGGAATCCAGCCCCTCCCCTGTCACGGCAGAGAGCTGTGACAGGATCGAGAGGTGAGCGAGCGCCGGTATGTGTTCTCTCACCTCCCGATCTACTGAGCCAATCCTGTGACAGTCTCATTCTCACAGGTCGGCTAGAACTATGAGGTGAGTGAAAAGCACTCACCTCATAGTTCTCCTTTAAGAAAATCGACCGCATGATTGAGTCACCCTCCCCGAAAGCCTTTGCAAACCTGCCAGCAGACCCGATAGCCATAGTTGACCATGCTGGACCCTTGTTGGCCCGTTGACTTGAAATTAGGGTACCCCCCCTCAGGCCCATTCCACTCATGCACTTTTGCATCACTACCGTCTTGTGCTAGTAGAACTGACACTATCAGGGGCTATCTTCTATAGGGTTACGCAACATATTCTGCGTCTGACGAGGCATCTCATTAGTGTTTGGTGGCAGAGAGGATGATAAAATGATAATCGGGTTGGGGGAACCAAATGAGAGAGATGATGACGCAACAGAAGAAGTGGAGGGGGTTGAAGGATAATGCTGCACCCTCTAGGCTCCCTTCTTGGATCCTATAAGTGATGACATTGGCTATGATTTTTCTTTCTTTGGTCTGTTATCGGCCTACCCAGTGCATGCTGGACACATTGCTCCTAGCACCACCATTGGCTACTCTATCTATATATAGGACATCTAAGGAATAGGAGATAGTCGCAGGGCTTGTAGGATGGAACATCAATAAGCTATATGCAACTGAAGGCAAATTAGCCATTGTTGCACCTTTGAAAATCTGCAAGAACCTCAGATTGCTTGTATGCTTCTTCATCCCGCGAGTAGCACTCCGGCCTCTAGATCTCTCTATGTCCATGCCCTACCACTCCCTTGACAACACTATATATATTTTTGATTACATTTCTGTATATTAGACTTATTTTCACATGCATCATCGCTACTGCCACTGGTATTACTATCCTCTACTGCCACCCCCAACCCCAATAATAAAAGTTCCTTTACATTTCTTACCCGCTCCTATGGTGGTGCTCCATTGAAAAGTCCCCCAAGAGATGAATTGCTGAAGCGACAAAACAGAAACAAATTCTGTTAGGGATGCCCCATTGGGAGGAATACATTTTTCCCCATTATTTTTGTCATCTTTATCCTTTTCTAGGCACAGTTCCACATCTAGAAATGATGCAGAATGTTGGGGGGGGGAGGGGGGGGGCCTGGAAGAGGAGCCCCCACCCAAAAAAAAAAAAAAAAAACTCTTAAAACCTTAAACACCCATTTTGGGGCCCTTCAATGTGAATAC